AATACAGAACATTCAGTTGAACTTGAATTTCAAACAAACAATAGTTTTTTTTTTTTTTTTTTTTTAGAGAGAGAGAGAGAGAATTGTAATATTTATTTATTTTTTTTTTTTTTAGTTTTTCAGCAGACACAACATCTTTTTTTGTATGTGGTGCTGAGGATCGAACCCGGGCTGCACGCATGCCAGGCGAGCGCACTACCGCTTGAGCCACATCCCCAGCCCCAAAATAAAATTTTTTATACTAATAAATTATTTGTGTTTTATCTGAAATTCAAGTGTAGCTAGGTATTATATCTTCTCTTTTAAAGGTGAAAGTCTAGTGCTTGAGAAAATCTGATTTTAAACCATGAGCCTCAACAATTCTGGCACAATTCAATCAAAATAAATAATATCAATAACTTCACAAGTACATTATAAATTTTGATGATGTATTTTAAGATGTAAAGCTCTTATCAAAATTTCAGAATGATTATTCTGAAATACAATAACCAAAACATTTGTATATGCAACTCCTTTAATTTATTATAAAACTGCAATTTGTATTTATTGAATTATGTTTACATTGCAGAGTATAGTATTATTAGGTCCAGTGTGAGACTATTTTATGTACAGTGCATTTCTTTAGTGGAAATAGTGTTGAAATTTAAGTAATACTGACTGGAAGTTATTGTCACATTCCTTTTGTGTGACTTTTAGGTTACCTGCTTTTTATTTGCTCATTTTTAACAGGAGGTATATTAACATGTCATAAATCATTTATGGTGATTAAATGAAACAAGTTTTCTTGTGCTCAGAGTCTAGCAAAAGGCCTGGAACTTAGTAAATTCTTATTAAATAGTATTATCTATTCTACTGTATATAATAGTTATAATAAGGTTTATACTGACACTTTCTTTCACCCTCTCTCTCCTGTGAAGTCTTCAAGATTCCTTTGAAATCTCTATTAGCAAATATATCACTTTTCTAGAGCTGCTATAACCAAGTTCCCCAGACTGGATGATGTCATAGGCATGTTTTCAAAGAACTTTTTCACAATTCTGCAAGTGGGAAGTCTGAGATCAAGGCATCAGGAGGGTTGGTTTATCTTGAGGTTACTCTCCTTGGCCTGTAGCTGGCGGTCTTCTTTTGTTTTCACATGTCCTTTCCTCTATGCATCCAAATTTTCCTTTTCTATGGAGACACCAGTCATACTGAATTACATTGGATCAGGACCTACCATAACATATACATTTTAATTTAATTACTTTTTTTTTGAGGTGCTTAGGGGTTGAACCCAATAGCACTCTAACTCTGAGGCATATATATAAAATCTGGGTCATTGGGGGTCCTGCCCTCAGAAGGCATTTCTATATATATAGCGCCAAGTTCCCCAGCTTGTTGACCTTGAACTGGGATCTTTCTACCTCAGGCTATTGAGTTACTGGGCTTATAGGAATGTGCTATTTTTTAAGGACCCTGTCTACAAATCCAGTCACAATCTGAGGTACTAGGGATTCAGATTCAAGCATATGAATATGAAGGGTGGTGTCTCCTAAGCCTGTAACAATAAAGCACGGTTTCAGATTTAAGCACTTTTAAAATACTAATAATTTCTGAAATTTCTAGCATATTTATGTCAATAATAGCATAAGACAAAAAAAATTGAGACGAACTGAATATGACTCCAGGTAGTACTTACAGTAAAAAACAAATAATTTTAAGTTGGAGGGATCTTGAAAAATTAAAATATATAAAAAGGAAAGGAGAGAATATTTTCAGATGCTGGGAGAAAGGGTCTTATTTAAATGTTTTATAAGTTATGAGTTGTAATGGGAGATATTTTTAGGATATGTATTTCCCCAATCATTTCATAGGTATTTAGGGAATATGTACATCATGTTCAGTTCAAAAGAAGGCAAAGTTCTGTGAAAAATACAAAGAAATACAAAGCAGGATCCTTGCTCTCGGGAGCTTTTCTCTCTAGATAAGAAGCCAACACTAGTACAAGTGAAATAAAGAAAAACAGCAACAATTATATAAAACCATATAATTCTGTCTGTAGAGAACTTTGGGTCACTGAGGAAGAGAGGTGTCACTATGTGGGAGTTTGAGATACTTCTCTAAAGTTGGGGTTCATATTTCCCCATTGAAAGGCAGTGTGGTATAATGGAATGTGCCTAGTTCTATTATGACATTAATCACAGTCTTTATTGATTTTTTATATTTGTTCATTCATCTTTGTCTCTATCACTAGAACATACAGTCTATAAAGGCAGTTACCTTATTTGTTTTGCCTACTATCAATTTCTCACCATCTACAATGGTATTTTATACATAATAGATGCTGGTATTAGTCTATTTTCTGTTGCTAATAGCATAACATTGCAGACAGGATAAATTTTAATGAAAAAAGAGGTTTAATTTGGTTCACACTTCTGAAGGTTCAATGTTCAGAGGCCACATCTGTACAATATTAGTGGAATAAATAAATGCATTAATATCATGAAATAATAAGTATGGAGAGTTAGAAAGAAGTCTCAATACGTAGAAAAAAATTCAATTTATGTAGGGTTTTAAAAATGATAGGAAATTTTAAATTTGAAACAGAATGTAATTAGAAGATTTTGAAGAATCTCAAGAATTAGGAATAAACTAAATATGTTTTTAAAGGACTATAACAATCTACAATAGTTTTTCCAGAATAACTGTGGTCTCAGTTTCACATTGGTCACTGGTGAAATTCCTGTTGTTTAAGTGCTAATGGTCTTTCATGGGCCAGGCACTCTTTGGTCATAGTCCTCAAGGTCATGGTTCTTTGTATTTAGTTCCTTCTCCCATTTATTTAACAATCCTTTACCAGCACATTAGAGTTTAATTGGTTACTCTCAGTAACTGGGAATTTGACATGATTTTGGGTTACTCTTAGAAGCACCACCTGATCAAAAAGTTTAATACAGAATTGGATTACATAGTCACCTCTACTTCCCAGAACACCTGACATTTTGACTGTTGTCTGTGAAAATTAGTCTTCTCTAGCAGGCTGAAATCGGAAGGGAATTTTTGTAGGGTGATCATTCATAGCATCTGCATAGGGTGGCTACTTTCTAGATAGGAAGAAAAAATGTCAAGGAAGTTTTTTTTTTTTTTTTTTCCCAATGAATTCCCATAGCAACTAGAAAAAAAAAAGTAATCATAAAAGAATTTGTATGATCTTGCTGTAGAAATTTGTTAAAAAATTCAGGTTTGAAAAAATGGAATCCTGGGTCATGATAGGTTAGGTCATAGCTTACTGAAACATGAGAATTTGCACAGAGATACATCTTTGAAAATCATCCAGCCTCTTGACTGTTTTAAGTTTTAGTGTCATGTTGTTCCTGTTCAAGGCCCCTTGGGTCCTAATGGGTTAGTAATAAAGGAAAATTCTTTGAGTGGTGCTTTCAGTTAACGTTGGTCCTGAACAAAATTTCCTGGATTTCCATTGTGATGACATTGAGCCTCAATTAGCAATGTCCCTATGGTGGGGTGCTTTTGTCTAAGAGATAGAAATGGAACACATTTTGAATTAAGGCTACTTTGAAAACCAAAAACTTATTTTGGACCTATTCTGTGTCAGAGACCAGCCAGAAAGGCTCTGAGCCCTACACTTATATTCCTCTTGCCAGGTCTTTAATTTGCTTTTAATTTACTATTTTTATTAATTTTATAAATTCTGAAGTAATATACACATAATAACAAAACAATCAATACAAAAAAGACTGTCATTAACAGAATATCATTTAATTTAACCCTTCCAGCTTCAGTCTCACTTTCAAAAACAGATCTTTTATAGCTGTTTAAGTTCTCCCAGGGTTCTATCAAATGTATACGTAATATTTATTTATCAGTTTTAAATATCATGCATTTTTCTGATATAAAAGACAAAAATCTAATAATTTCTATTATTCTTATTAATCTCACCCTTTCCAGTTTTTTAGATGATTTTGGTATTTTATTAGTCATTTTCTAATTATATATATTATGCTAAATGTGTCTTTGCTATTCATTTTCAAAATCATCTTATTATTTGTCACTTTATATGAGAATATTCTTTCCAAAATCAATGTCTTATTTGCTTATGAAAACTTTATTTTCACATTGCAAAATTCTTAATATTTATGTCTTGCATCACCATCTTAGCAAGTCTTCTGTGGTTTATTAAAGGCTGATATAGAAAACTGAAAACAAATAACATTAGAATTATACTTGCTTCTGTCCTGGTATAGTGTTTTAACTTCTGGGTCACTAAAAAAATGTAAAGAGTAATAACACCAAGAACAATTGTATTACTTTTTTTAAAAAATAATTCATTAATTACTTAATGTTTAAGCAATTTTTTTCTTTGCAAAACTGTTTTCATCTAGAATTTAAGTCATGATATTATATTTCTATAACTTTGAATTAATAAAATTTTGAAGAAAGAGTATATCTGTGCAAGTATTTCTGTGAAAGGAGTATTTCTCTGCCAGGATTTCTGCACAAGAAATAAAAATAGTTACTATAATTATGAAGAATCCAGTAATGGAAAATAAAAGTTATTAAAAACTAAAATACAATTAGCAAACAAAAAGCTAGAGAACAATATGTTTTTAATTTTCTTTAGCTATTTTGTTGGACTCTGCTATTTATTTACACATACAGCACAAAACTACTATTGTCATGTTTAAGTATAAAAATAAAAAAAAATGTATTATGTATTGATTTGAAGTATGCTTATTTTATCAATATAATATGTATTAGATAATATATAAAATGTTATTGATTTTTGGGGGGAAAAAAGGTTAAAGACTTGGGAAAGAAGGAGGAAATTTTGAATAAAAAGTCACTATAGTTTGCGTTTTTCAAAGTAAATGTGATTTTAGTATCTCCCTTAGATTTTTAAATAGAACAAAATAAATCAGAATGTATTACATTTTAATAGCTATTTATTTTATTTAATAAAATATTTATATTCTCCTTTAAAAATATTTTTTTTTGTTTTATAGATAAGAAACTCTGGTGGGCAGACCAAAACTTAGCTCAGCTGGGAACCTGTAACAAAAGAGATGGAAGAAACCCCACTATCCTACGAAACAAGACTTCTGGGGTTGTTCATATGAAAGTATATGATAAAGAAGCACAGCAAGGCAAGTCACACTTGGAAATTCATGCCACGTTTTAAGCATATAATGTTCTCTTTTTTCATACTATTTCCTCATTCCAACAATAGAAGTTTTTACTCTTGCTTCTAATTAAGAAAAAAAAAGGAAAATGTTGCTTAATACTATAGGAGAAATGTCTTTAAAAGTTATATATTATGATATATAATGAACCTTTAAAATATTAACAAAATGGCCTTACATATCTTAATGTATCAGGTCTTCAAAGAGATAGTTCCTAGTGTTTTTTTATGAGAAAATAGGAATAAAAAAATATCCCAGCAAAATACATACAAAATATAATTAAGCCCAGAAACTGAATGAACTATGGAATTTCAAGTAGACAAAGTGGATATAAGATGTAAAGGTTTTATATTTGAATTGTTTGAAGCATTGAATTGTTTGGCTATAAGCATTTAGTCTTTTTGTTTTGTTTTTCCAAATGGTGTGTAGTGAAATGGAGTGAGAGAACTAACAGATGGTTTACATAGGTGGATTTGTCACCTTGCCCAAATGGCAATTGGATTAGAGCTGCCATCCAGTACAACTATACACCTGCTGGCTCTTTCTTAGTTTTTGCTTTATTATTCATGACATTAATAGAACTCTCTCCTGTAAAAAATATATATATATATATATTTTCTGTATTTCACTTCCTTATTTCAGTCTTTGCCATGAAAAATCTTCCGTTTCATGTATTTATTTCTAGGAAATTCTTCATGAAAAAAAAAATTGGACACTATGTAATGATTTCATCTAGATGATTTGGGGCAGAGAGACAAAAACAGAAAAGAACAGGAGGAAGAATTCAGATCCTACAGGATCTGTATTGCGGAAGACAGGTGACAACCATCAGGCAGGAATTATTGGAGATATCAGTTGAGTGCTGGCTTGCACAACAGGAGAGAAAATGGAGAAAAGCAATGCTTGCCTTCCCTGAGGATGGAGCAGATTTGTTCTAGAAGCCTTACTTGTGAGGGTCAGAGGGAAATATATTTCTTTTTTCATGAAAAGAAATTTTTAAAAAACTTTTAAAAATAATTACTTCAGTAATTAATCTGAAATGATTATTGAGCTTATTTTGGGTGGAAGAGTAACTTGCCTAAAATGTGTGAGACCACGTATTTGATGGCTTGAACACCAAATAAATAAACAAATAAATAAATAGAGACAAATAAATAAAGAAAAGAAAATAGGGGTGCTCAACCACTGAGCCACATCCCCAGTCCCATTTTCTATTTTATTTAGAGACAGGATCTCACTGAGTTGCTTAGTTTCTTTCTTTTGCTGAGGCTGGCTTTGAACTTGTAAACCTCCTGTCTCAGTCTTCCCAGCTCCTGGGATTACAGGTGTGTGCCACTATGCCTGCCATTAGCTAACTTTTATTAACCAGATTATCCTATTTTAAAAATTTGTCCCTATAAGTACAGATAAATGTAATATACACTATGAACAGACCCTTAGCACTTAGAAATTAAAGATGTAATATGACTAAGTTTAATATGCAGTGAAAATACCATTTTTTTCTCGAAGAATATGCTGGTAAAATCATCTGTATTAAAGACAATCCCATTAACAGAATCACTGCAGGTAGCTTAAAAGCTTCATTAGTATGAAATATGAGCAATTTAGGACTCTTTAAGGTGTTAACATTACTATCTCTTTGGATTTCAGAGTACAATTAGTTGATTCATTTATCATTTTTGACACAGATCACTGGAGAGCTGAGACTTCTTGTTAGTCAAATGGACTTTCTAGCTCCAGTAGTCATTTGGGGCATGAGGTTTGAACATCAATATCATTACAACATTTCAATTCAAGCTAGTATTTCTAACCTGATAGATAATCACTACATGAATTATTACTATAAAAATCACTATATTATTTCCCACTTCACCTGTATTTCATAGGAAAGGATACTTACTATAAATAGTGACTTTGTAAATACTTTTTAATTTTTTATCTCCCCACAGTTATTAAAATGTATTAAATGTATTAAAATTGCTATTATTGCAATTATATTATTCAATATAAAGTAATATAATTAAATAATTATAGATAATCTAACATTTATATATTATTTATGTATTATATATAATATAAATATGTATACATATTCAATTAAATAATTAAGAATTATTTAATATAATTTAATGTTATTTAATATAATTGCTATTATTGCAATTATATTAAAAATTGTACCGTTGTAGCCAGGCATGGTGGGGCATGCCTATAATCCCAGTGGCTTGGGAGGCTGAGGCAGGAGGACTGAGGATTCAAAGCCAGCCTCAGCAAAAGTTGCACTAAGCTACTCAGAGAGCCTGTGTTTCTAAATAAAATACAAAATGGGGCTGGGGATGGGGCTCAGTGGTCAAGTGTCCCTGAATGTAATTCCTGGTACCCCTATCCCCCAAAATTAAACCATCCCAGAAGCTCCTGTTTGTTCTTTTCACATACTTTTGATATTATCAAAGCTATATAACCCCTCATTTTGTCTTATGTTTATGAATTCATTCTCTTCCCTAACCTGTTTCTTTACTTTGTTCCCCTTATTTTTCCTCTCTGTGTGGTATTTCTTCATACTTTATAGTCAGGTATAATCTGTAAATCTCTTTATAGTTGTTCAGGCTTTAGTAAAAGTTAAAACTAATATCTATCTATATGTGTATCGCTATAGATTGGTATAAAAACTAATATATATTTATATGCATATCTCTATAGATTGGCATTATTTTAATGTTTATCCACATGCTTTCTATACAATAATATATATATATATATATATATATATATATATATATGGCCAATAAAGAATTATTGCACACATAATAATATAATTGTCTTATTATTTAAAAAAAAGAGCTGAAATAATATCTTGAGTAAGCTGGGGGATAAAAACGAATTAATTAGTATTCATTAGTTAATTTAGAAAATAATTATAATAGTTTGAAAACTTTGAGTTACTTAAGGTAAAGTTCAGCCTTGACAGAACAGTATCTATAAGAAATGAGCAGAGAATGTGGTAGATATACTGATGAGAAATCTCCCCAATTGAGAGCATTTCACATTTCAGAAATGACAGAGATTGTGACGGGTTTGAATGAACAATTAAATCCCATCAGGCTATCTTGAATTCAGGAGATGAGAAATAATGAACTGCACTGGTATTTTAAATTTCCCATAGAGCGCTATTGATATATAGCTTTCATCATGCTTTGTAATTCTCACTGGATTTATTGCACTTAGTATCAGAGCTTGAACATCCAGTAAATGGCATTGCATGTCCTAGAATAATAAAAATGTTGTAAAGATGGGATATTTAATGAACTTGCTTGGTAAGATTGTAAATTACTAAACTTTACACTACAGCTTTAATTAGCATATTGGGCCTAGTAAATTCAAAAGAACATCTTTATAGAATGCCTACCTGTGATTACCTGACTAATATTTGTCATTGACACTGTAAAGGAGTAAGGAGAATTAATATGCCAATTAATTAGATGATTCTTATGGGTGTGTTTAAGTATATTTTGGAGAATTAAGTTTCTAGGAATGGAAAAAATAAATATTTTTTAAAAAATAAAGTACTTACACATACACATGCCTCGTTTTTTAAGTGACTTGATCTTTGAGTTGTATTAGTAATATAACTTCATAGCTATTTATGTGACACATTTGGATAAAATATCTTTACAAAGGAAATAACTATGGAGATGAAGTTAAGTTCCAAATCAAAAAAAATAAACATTCCCTGATTTCTGTGTTCTTACATCATATCAAAGAACTATGATGGTGTTCATGAATAATCAGTTCTCTTTTGCTTTTCTGTAACTATAATCTTTTCATGTATCTCTATTTGCTTTTTCTGAAGGGCAAAATTTAACTATAATTTGCTAATTCAAATTATTTGGAAGAATAAAATGTGAGACTGATCAATATGAAGCAGCTACATTTAGGAATTAAAGGCATAAAATATTTGCTAAATTTTTGATATTGAATAACACTCTTTAATTTTCTTTTTCTTTTTTTCTTTTTGTGTATTTTTTTTTCCTTTATGCAGGCAGCAACTCTTGCCACCTAAATAATGGTGGATGCTCACAGCTTTGTTTACCAACATCTGAAACTACAAGGACTTGCATGTGTACAGTGGGATATTATCTCCAAAAGAACCGCATGTCATGTCAAGGTATGAAAATTTTTAGTTTTAATGCATTTACTTAATCTACCAGATTGCAGATTTTATGCAACCAAAGTCAGTGAAACATTAGAAAAATAATATTAGCTTGTTAATTGGAAAATGGTGTACTGCTTAGTTTTATGCATGTAAAATTTTAGTATATCAGAAATATTTGAAGTATCACTGTTTTTTCTTTTAAGACTTCCTGACTTTGAAAAAAATTCCAGCTATTATTCAAAATTAAGGAGAATTAATATGAAAATTAATCAGATGACTTTTATGCACATGTTTTAAACATATTTTGGGTAAACTGTGTTCCTAGGAGAGAAAAAATTTATATCCTTGCTCTGAAAAGAAATTAAATATATCTATACATGACTACATTATTTTTGGCATAATCTTTAAATTGTGTTAGTAATATAATTTAATAACTATTTATGTGACACATTTGCATAGAATTTGTCCTGCAAAGAAAATAAGATGAAGTTTACTATCAAACATTAACCAAATGTAGTAGCTTCTAAGTTCAACTTGAATAGGTAAAAATTGAAGTAAAAAGAGATGGTTGATTGGCTGTAATTAATGTATAGTTTGATTTAGCTTTGTTTACTTTTCAACTAATTTATAGAAGGCATAAGGGAGAATATAAGAACTAGGTTTGCAAAATTGAGGGACAGTAGCACTTCTACTAAATGAATGCAACATAAAAATATATTTGCTGTTTCTTATTTCATAATCTCTAGTTCTATTATTCCAAAGAACTTTGGTTCTAGAATATTTTATATCTGGTGATTAAAGCTAAATTTTATCTTTTATATTACTTAAAAACTATATGCCAGCATTATTATTTATTGAATTTTAATAAATTATTTGTATTGTACTTATTATATTGCCATGCCTAGTTCTGAGCACCTTATACATGTAATTCACTTATCCTTATAATTTTATGAGGTAGATCTCTTATTATTACTATTTTATAGTTGGGAAAACTTAACTACAGAGAAATTAACATGCCCAAACCCCATGAATAAAAAATGACAGAAACAGATATAAATCTAGGAATCTTGATGTTAATAAAATAATATGTAAATATATAAGTATTTTCTAATATATTAGCAAAATTGATAAGGGTTAGCATAAAAATTTCTGGTAGTATTGTTATTTTATGTGCTTATTTTAGGATATGCTTTTAATGCTGAAAAAGTAAGATATTAATAGCAAAAGATAAGCAATTGGTGCATGTCTAGTGTTGTACAGGATTTAAGAAATTTACTCTTCCTTAAAAATAGATAGATATATATTAGGACAACAACAGTAACAAATAATTATCTCTGTGCTTATGGAAATGGTTTTCCCACGCTAATACCATCATCACCAGTTGGGAACTTTTCAGAATTCCACATTATGAGGCCTCTGGAAATGGGCTCAGGAATCTGTTTTAACCAACCTGCTAGAGATCATGTTGTATACTCAAGGTGAAAAATCACGATTCCTTAACTTTTAGCTAGTAAGAAAGGGTAGTGTACAATCAAAAATTTTTTAAAAGACTAAGAAATACATTATTAATTTAAATAATATTGATTAAGTTATTTTAATTTTAAATATTTATTTTTGTATTGTTTCTTCCCCCCCAATTTAGGTATAGAATCATTTCTCATGTACTCCGTTCATGAAGGAATCAGGGGAATACCTCTTGAACCAAGTGACAAAATGGATGCTTTGATGCCCATCTCGGGAACTTCATTTGCCGTGGGAATAGATTTCCATGCTGGTAAATAACTTTTTAATTATAATTTAGGTATAATTCTAATATGATTTACTAAGCATGATAGAAATATAACTTTTTATCTGAACTCTGATAGCCAAGTTGGAAATAAGAAAACAAATTGAAGATAAATATTTAAGCCTATCACAAATTGTCTTAAATGTTTTACTTAAAGAAAATATCATGTAAAATTTTCCTAAAATAGAGTATTTAAATTGAAAATAAATTAATATGTTGTGATTTGCTGTTGGTTATTTATTTTTATTTTTATATTTTTCAAATGACATAATACTCTCATCTAGTAACAAATATAAAGGTGGGTAAATCATTTGAGCTATTTTATAATAAAATTATGATCATATTCAAAATATTTTCAAGATGTGATTTTTAAATCTAATCCAGACAGCAGCAAATGTAATCTAACTAATAGAAAACATTGTAAATACTAAACCGCTTTTAATTATTTTTATCACACTGTGTATCATTTTGGAGTCAGGTTTTACCTTTCCCTCTTATTTGTCAGTACAGGGTGAAAGACAGGAAACTAGCATTTAGCTAATATAAATAAATGACTTGGAATTAATGGTAGACACTGTGGAATTTATTGAAGTTAACTAGTTTTTTTCTGTCCTAATAAAATTATGGAAATGTAGCCAGGCACTGTGGGGCATGCCTGTAATCCCAGTGGAGGATCACGACTTCAAAGTCAGCCCTAGCAAAAGTGAGTTGCTAAATAACTCAGTGAGACCCTGTCTCTAAATAAAATAGAAAATAGGGCTGGGGATGTAGATCAGTGATGAGTGTCCCTGAGTTCAATCTCCTGTACCCCTACAAAAAAAAAAAATTGTAAAAATCTTTCCATCACTCATTTTAACTAAATAATACATTCCCTATGGTAATGTGTTTATATAAGTTCCAGTGTTTATTTGTAAAGATATAAGTTTATCTAACATTAACATTAGAAAAGAAAATTTCTCTTTGGTTGAAAATATTTTTTAAAAAATTTATGCTCAATAATTATTTTTATTATATTTGTATTTTGTATCCAAAGTAGCTTTTTATCAGGAAGAATTAACCTTTTAGTTGAAACTTTTTCATAGTGTGCTTATCATTTTTTTTAATTTACTGGTACCTTATAATTATATGTAATAGGAGATTTCATTATGCTATTTTTTATATACATTTAACAATTTGCTCAATCTCATTTCTGAATATGTTTTCTTTTCCTCCCTTCCTACTCCCCCTGACATACTTGCTCTACTTTACTGATATACCTTTCTTTAATAGTAATCAGCTTTCATTTTTCTTTTTCTTTTCTCTTTTTTTAATTGCTTTTATTTTTTTAAGTACATGACAGCAGAATGCATCACAATTCTTATTACATATATAGAACACAATTTTTCATCTCTGTATAAAAAGTATGTTCACACCAATTCATGTTTTCATACATATACTTTGGATAATGATGTCCATCACATTCCACCATCCTTGCTAACCCCCTGCCCCCTCCCTTCCCCTACCACCCCTCTGCTCTATCTAGAGGTCATCTATTTCTCCCATGCTCCCTCTCCCTATCTCACAATGAGTCAGTCACCTTATATCAGAGAAAACATTTGCCATTTGCTTTTTTGGGGATTGGCTAACTTCACTTAGTATTATCTTCTCCAACTGCATCCATTTACCTGCAAATGCCATGATTTTATTCTCTTTTATTGCTGAGTAATATTCCATTGTGTATATATGCCACATGGGTCTATACCAAAAGCACTTAAAAACAGCATACTACAGGGACACAGCTACATCAATGTTTAGAGCAGCACAATTCACAATAGCTAAACTGTGGAACCAACCTAGATGCCCTTCAGTTGATGAATGGATTTAAAAAAAAATGGCCTACCTTCTGTTGTTATTATTATTGCTATTATACTAACCAATGTATTATCATTATATGTGTATATGTATGTAAATATGTATAAGTGGAATTCATTTTGTTATATTCATATATGAACATGGCATAATTTGGTAGATTCCGTTTCCTAGTACTTCCCTAAGCTTTCCCCTCCTTCTTCCCTCAATATCCTCTTCCCCTACTTTGTTGATCTCCCTTCAATTTTGTGAGATCCCCATTTTATTTTAATACTTTTTTCTCCATCTTCCACATATAAAACATTCGACCCTTGACCTTCTGAGTCTTGCTTATTTCACTTAGTGTGATGTTCCCCATTTTCAACTGTTTGCAAGCAAATTTCCTTCTTCTTTATGGCTGAGCAAAACCTCATTGTGTATAAATACTAAATTTTCTTTAAGCATTTATCCATTGACTGGTACCTAGCCTGGTTACAGAACTTGGCTACTGAGAATTTTGCTACTATATACATTGGTATGTATGTATCAGTATAATATGTTTATTTTTAAAATCTTGGATAAAATACCAAGGAGTGGGGTATCTGATTCATGTGGTGTTCCCATTCCTATTCTTACATAATCTACATATTGCTTTCCTAAGTGGTTTTACTAATTTTTGGTTCTACCAACAATGTATAACTAATATTTTAGTCAGCTTTTTCATTGCTGCAACAAAAATAACAGACAAGCACAATGTAGAAGAGAAAAACTTTGTTTTAGCTCATGGTTTCAGATGTTCAGTCCATGGTAGGCTGACTCCCTAGCTCTGGGCCCAAGGCCAGGGAGGACAATGTGGCAGAAGTGTGTGGGGGGAAGAAAGTAGCTTAGGATGTGGTGACCAGGAACAAAAAGAGAGCTCTGCTCATCAGGGACAAAATAGAAACCCAAAAGGAACACTCCAGTGACCTATTTCCTCCAGCCATCCCTACTTGCCTAGAGTTACCATCATTTAATCTATCAATGGATTAACTGACTTGATTAGGTTTTACCTCTCATACTCTAATCATCTCATTTCTGAAAATTCTTGCAATAGCTCACACATGAGATTTAGAGGAGCACCTCATATCTAAACTATAACATGTAACCTTTCCCCTACAGCTTTGCCAGCATTTATTGTTATTTGCATTCTTGATAATTGTCATTGTTACTCGAGTGAGATGAAATCTCAGTGTATTCTGGTTAGCATTTCCCTGAGTGCTAAAAATGTTCAACATTTTTTCATATATTTGTGTACCATTTGTATTTTTTTCTTTTTAAAAAAATATCTTGCCAGTTCATTTGCCTGTTTACTGATTGGGTTATGTGGTGTTTTTGTTTGTTTGGTGTCAAGATTTTTTAATTCTTGACTTACTCTGGATGGTAATCTTCTGTCCATAGAGTAGCAAGCAGAGATTTTTCTCCCATTCTGCAGGCTCTCTCTTCATGTTCATAACCATTCCTTTGCCTACCATATTTGAAATTTATTATCCCAGATTATAATATTCTAAAATCCTTATTCATCAGCATATGGATTTCTGGTACTAAGCTTACTTTTCCTCTCAGTTCTAACACACGTTACTTAAACAGTTGATGAAATCCTGGGATGCAAAGTAATAAATTTTGAGACCTTCACAAATGGCTGAAAGATGATTTCCTTCAGTAAATTATCTTGTACAAATGTTTGCAGTCACAGCGAGGTAAACTTTCTGCATTTTAAAAAGAGTCTTTTAGACAGCTACAATATATTTTTTAAGTAACATGTTATTTTTTTTCACAATTTTAGTGAACTTAGACAAATATAGTATATTTTATTAAACAATATGTTAGTTTTGCTAAAATCATAGTATGATTTTCAATAAAAGTTGATGGACCCAATTATTTATTCATGGAAATGTATTACCTTATGATAAGATCTATTCTGCTTTTATGTACATAAATCATTATTTAGAAGTTTATTATATATTATAATCAAGTGCAAAACTTAGAAAACTTGAATTTATTGAAAAAATTTATTGTGTTAACATGTATAGTTTTGCTTAGCACATAATCCATTGTTTTAGCTAGCATCATATATTTGATTCTTTAAAATTTAAAGAATATTTAATAACATAAATTTTTAAATTTAATCCATAATGATTATTGAAAGTATTTGATAAATTTCCAGGATATAGAAATAATAAAAGTTATTTGATCTTAATATTCTCATTATATTATTAGTTAAACTCTTGCATCTTAAGGTTAAACTGATCATTTTAATGGGTGAAATTTACTCTCTGAGGTTTCATTGTGGCCCTGAAATAGTAAACTTTTATATTGTGTATCATGATACAAGATAATGTTATTTACAGATAATAGCAGCCTCCCATAGCAAAATTTCCAATATTCATTAATATGATAGTCTTATTTTGTATCAAAATAGCTTTTCATCAGGAGGAATTAGTTATTTTAGTTTAAACTTCAGGTTCTTCATATTGTGTCTGCCATGTTTTTAATTTACATTCCTAGAAAAAATAATTTTAGAAAATCTGTTTCTTTTTAACTACAAAAAGATGTAGGCATATGGAATAGACTGGTAGATACAACACTCAAAAATCTATTAAAATCTTGACAATCAGAAAACAGCAATGTAAGATTTGCTTTGAAACCAAGGACTGAGATTTAGAAACTAGTAACCTATATAATGGAATGGTTCAGGATTTGGTATAGAAGAATGGTTCACACTGCCAGCACAGTCACCTACTAACTCTGGGTCCTCACTATGTTATAGAATTTTTTGAGGCTCAGTTTCCTTATTTGAAGATTGTGGAAACATTAAAAAATGATAGAAATAAACTTTTGTATTTGTCATACTTGGGAAGCTGGCATAGAGTGCTTAGACAATGAGCCAGTCAAACATTACTCAAGAAGAAGATGGTGGTGGTAGTATCAGGAACTTTCAATCAGTTCTGAGTGTATCCTGTGTGGTTCTATCTACTGTACAATCTGATTCTTTACCTAGTGTGTTTTATAAAAATTTACTAGCATCAGAGTAAATGTCAGCAACTTGATTGATGACCATTAAAGAGAATATACAATCTCCATAACTGTGTGGAGAGAAGTTGCTTCAAGAAAGAAGAAATAGA